TTTGCGTTCGGTTTGTTGTTCTTCCCCCGCGCCTCCGATGAGCACGGTTGGCTACGTGCGGCGCGAAAGAAGTTCAACGTGCACGCGTACGGACGCCGTCGTCACATTGCTCAGGGAATCCCACCTGGACGGGGCCGTCGCCCGAGACTGGAAAACCCCGAGGCGTTTGCCCCCCTCAACGCTGAGCGGCGCGTCGCGACTGCAGGCGCGCCGCTTCCTCCACGTCGCGAGTCGATCCGTCTCGCGGCCGGGCACCCTGGCACAACGAGCAGCACTGGATCGCAAGGGCGTGAACCGCGCGAACTCAAAACGAATCGAAATCCATTCTCCGACGAGAGGCGGTTGCGACGAAGTGAGCACCGTGAAAATGCCACCTTGTTTATGGTTTTCCCATGATGGACCTCGCGTCGAGGCAGCCGCTGTCCTGTCACATCTCTGAACCTAAAATTGGTACCTGGGGCGATGTGTAAACATCACCACCGGGGAGACAAAGGCGGCCGGATATGGAGTGCTGACCGCTCCCCCCGTCCCAACGCGTCGACCTTCCAAAGGAGCACTGACCCCCACAAATCTGTGAGGGCTATACCGGGGAAAGCGTTGTCTTTGCGTGCGTGGCTACTGGGTGGGCTTCACCAATAAATGTGGCATCTGTGCAAGTTTGCACACGTGGGCCGAGCAAGAATGCGTGCCCGTTCCGAGTGCGGACGCCTGCGTGCGCGCGGCTGCGTCGGCCCGGCCGCGTGTTTTTTTTTTCTTCGCGAAAATCGCGACGCAGAATTGTTGCATCCACGCCCGCGCGTTCTGACGACGCTCCGTTCGCACCACCGCGTGCGTCAAAGCGAAGAGTTCCAAAGCCGCAGCAGCATTGATTCGCCCCCATTGCGTGGAGGACTCAAGAAAAACAAGTCAACGGAAGAGCAAAGAAAGTGGCTTTCTTTGCGCGATTGAACGTGGGCAGTCGATGCTGTCTTGTACACTCTTGTGCAAAGCGCCGAGCCAGCGGTGTTAATTCCACATTCCTACGGCAGGGGTAATTCGTAGGAAGCGACTGTGGTACTCATTATTTTTTTTATCAACACCCACCGACCAGTGTGGTGAAATATGGGTACAAAATCCCATGACTGGCACAGCCTGGCAAGGCCTTAATGCAGCATTAGGCAGAAGAAGCGTGGGGCAGTGTAGCGCAATCAACAGTTGCACCGTACTGCTATGCTCCCACGTCTATGCTCCCCCACCTTTACCAACTGAAACTGAACAGTGTGGAGAAGTATGGTCACATCCCAGCAGTGGATTGACTAAAGGTTTGTAAAGGTGCATTAAATGCAAGGCTGAGTCGAGCCCCAATTCGATTTGAATTCACAACCTTGCAAGTTTCACGAGTAGCACACTCCATCCACGCTACCACCCGACAAGTACTATACAGCGGTGTCAGTCAACCTTGCGAATGAAATTCGTGCGACAATGTTGGCCTGTGGTAGGGTACGTGTCACATTTTCATTTAGCCAATGATGCCTGAGTGAAGGTCTATCATCGGGCGTGACGATGACTCTTAACTGCCCACCGGATATCAACGAAAGCGCAACTCTGATTTGACGAAGTGAGCGGAGTTACAATGCAGACACAGACCGGGTTACTGATTGGCTGCGCTGATAGTATCGGTGGCAGGTCTGTGTAAAGCGTGGAACGTTGGGCGAACGTTGGGCTCAATGCTCTCAACCGCGTGGAACGTTGGCTCGACGTTGCATGTGGTACCTGGGCGGTGGAAGATTTCATGCTCCTCACACAAACATTTAATACATGAAGAGTGAGCTAAGTGACAGCTTTAGTCGGCTAGGCCGAGATAATAACTACATGAAATTCACAGCCTGAGACATGGACTCGAACTCCACAGATTGGTGTTGATGAGCCCAAGGCTACGACTGATATAAACCATGCTGACTAAACAATTCTGGCCAGATAGCATAGAGTTATAAGATCCAAACCCCAAATAAATGTGCTCGATTATGATATTAATCGATGACAAAATAATCCGCCTTTTGCCGTGCACTCAACGCCAATACGTGTTGAGGAAACACAGGCATGCGTTTCCTGCTATGCCCTGTCTGATAAGGGCTCTGGCACAGTCGGGAGCAAAGCTTGTGCATCTGCCAGTGATCTCAGTCAAACCCATGGCACCTGAAGGCTGTCCCGTGACCTCCTGCCAGCAACGAGCCTTCGACACTCGGACGTAGCCTCGATTGTGTACCTAGCATGGCACAAGCGCCGTGGAGACGTCACCCCCAGCGCAGTGGCTGTTGTTGTGACGAGCGCTTTGTGAACGGCTTGCGCTGCGTGGGCAATCTACCGCGTGCGCTGCGGAATGCCACCTACACACACACACCGCGCGCGCATTGCCCACGATGCAGCCGGAAACGTAACTTCCTTCTGAGAATCGGCTTGCGATCACGGACTGGCTCAGGAGTGGCCCCGCTGTGCAGAGCCTACGGGGAAGGCAAGGAGCACCCCCCCCCACGCCCAGACCACCGCCTTCGAAAAAGCATTGGTGATTCAGGGTGCTACTTGGCGTGAAAACAAATCAACAGAAAAAGCTTTAGGCCCCAAACAGCTCAGGGGACCACGAGTTAATGAGGGGGGGGGGGGGGGGGGGGTGGGAAATAGGGTTCAAACAAATAGTTTCGGCTTTAATTCGGATCGTTGCGAACATAAGCTGTTTATTAATGAAAAAGCGAATTCGTGCCTCTCATGCACATGGGCCTAATTCCTCACTAGATTGTCCAAAACGCTGCGAGGCCAGGCTCCGAACAGCACAAGGCACTACCACTAGAGTACCAGGTATGACTATTCATAATAGCCCGATATATATCAGCCTATACTCTATCAAATATTCATACGCGCATATGAATATGCTGAATGATTCATCTTATAAATAAATGGACAATAGTTTGTGTATCTATGTTGACATTATTTCGCTCCGTATGTAGCCATACATGCCAAGTAGCACCCTCGATCACCAGCTGGAACAGTCCAGAGCCAATCGGAGGCTCTGGACTGTTCCAGCTGAAATGAAGCACCGCTCTCAACTCTCATCACACGACGCATCTCTCGTCTCCACCTCTTCATAGTGAGGTGGTGGTGGTGGAGGGGTGGGGGCAGCAAAAAATAACTTCTGCTTCGAGCCCTCCAGCGAGCCAGCAACCACCACATCTAGAGAATCACCTCTCCACACTGCCCCCCCCCCCCCACCACCACCACCACACATGAAACGTGATCAAATCAAACCTCTTAAGCCACTCAAACCAGGGGGGCACACATCCTCGTCATCGCCGTTACCCTTTGCTCTATTCAACTTGCGAGTCTACGCGGCACTCATTCCCGCAAACCAAAGCACGCCAGATGCAGGCCACGAGCTGAGCAAGGTGCAGCCTGCTCGGGCATCGTTTTAAGGACGGCAGCATTGGCCAGATCGTTTTAGTTGCTTTCCACCGGACAGGCCTTGAGAGCATTGCACCGTTGCAGCGTGGTTGGTGGTTGCACGCGACACGCACGCAAGGCACGCGGACGTGGAGTCGTGCCTCCGTGCTCTTTGTGACCAAACACATCCTGCCTGCGACTTGACGACAATGATACTGATAATGCCTGATCATGATAACGCAACACAGCAGTGTGGACCCTTGTTTAAAAGTGTGTGGGGGGGGGGCATAATACAAGGAGAGGTGGGAGAGGGCGCACGACACTCAGTGTTGGACAATCTTTAAGCAACGTCATGGGACCTCTCGATTTAAAGCTTTCGTGACTACAAGTATTCATCTTCTTTGGTTCTTTCGGTAAAGTCACGTAGAATGAGAATAAAATAATAAATTGATAAAATAAAAGAACACAATAATATTCTCACGACGTTTCGGCCACAACACAAGCGGTCTTCATCAGGTGAAGGGGGCGAGACTGTCTGGAGGACAGTCTGGAGGACAGTCTCGTCCCCTTCACCTGATGAAGGCCGCTTGTGTTGTGGCCGAAACGTCGTGAGAATATTATTGTGTTATTTTATTTTATCAATTTATTATTTTATTCTCATTCTACGTGACTTTACCGAAATAACCAAAGAAGGTCATGGGACCTCCTTTGCCGGTACCAAAATATGAGAATAGGTTTTCCCCTTTTTTCTGGCAACAAAACAGATGTTAAGATGTTAGAACACCAAACTGAAACCTTTTACAAGGAATCATGTCTGTATTAACCACAATGCTTATGGTCAGAATGCAAAAAAACATACTCTGATAATATATGTGGCATTGTCTTTGAAACTTATTGGTCCACACCAGAGACAGCTTTCTTTGGAGCCTCGTCTCAAAACGGTGTTAGACTATTGGCGTCCGCTGGTCTAACACCGTTTGAGACGAGGCTCAAAAGAAAGCTGTCTCTGGTGTGGACCAATCAGTTTCAAAGACAATGCCAATATATTAGCAGAGTATGTTTTTTATGTTTTCATTCTGACCACAAGCTATGTGGTTAATGCAGACGTGATTCCTTGTAAAAGGTTTCAGTTTGGTGTTCTAACATCTTAACACCTATTTTGTTGCCAGAAAAAAGGGCAAAACACTATGATCAAATCTTTAAGCAAACACTGAACGCTAGCAGAGAGAGTGAGGATGACGATCTGCTTTGGTGTTAAAACATCGTACCGACATTTGTTTGACTCGACGACCAAAGATTAACAATAGAAAGTTGGGCCGGACATTCAGCAGCGGTTGGCATGGAAAGTTCGCAATGATACCGATGACGACAATGACACTCGTGGTGGTGATGATGATGATCATGATGGTTCTCAATCATCGTGACCTACGATGATGGCATTGCTTCTGATGACGACGATGTAAGACGCGCTGATTAATGCTGATAATATGAACACGGATAATCATCATCGTCATGGATCATCGCCACAGTGAGCCCCCCCCCGCCGCCCCCCGACAATGTTTAACGACTATCGCGGCCCCCATCATCACCTCCTTGAGCAGGTCCATCTCTGCGCGCATCGCCTCGTACGCCTGTTCGAACGCGTCGCAACGCTCCTGCAGCGCCTGCTTCTCCTCCAGCACGGCCAGGCCGTACTCGGCAGCCTGCACCTTCTCCCTGCTGCTCGAAGCCAGCTCGCGACTCAGCCGCTCCAGCTCAGCCCGGAGAGACCCCTCCGAGGAGGAGGAGGACGAGGAGGGAGACGAGGAGGAGGAGGAGGCGTTGCGCGGCATCGTGGCCCCCTGACGCCGCCTTTGCTCCGGCGACTCCGCCGAGGAGCTACCGCTGCTCTCTCGCTCCTCCGACGCAGAGTTCAGTTCTTCTCCGTCCATGGCTACGCATTTAAGTTCCACGAGCTCTCTCTTTCTCTATATATATAATATATTTTTACTATACATATATAAAATCGACAGGCTTGTCTGTGACGGTAACCGTGTCTGTTTCTAAGTTAGGTTTAGCCGTCCCGAACTTGGAATTATCTTCACGATCACACCCACCAACCACCACCACACCCCCCTCTACCCCTCTACATGATGATCCAGCGCCGTTCTTCCTCGTGTGCACAGGAGTTGCTGCTTTGTAAGGGGAGGCTCAGGGCCAAACTGTGAGCGTGGCGCGTGTGAGTCTGTGATGATGAAGTGTTGAGAGGCGTTGACGCGAGCGAGATGGGGAGCGACGGGCGTTGTGAGCGTGCCACGTGTGACGACGCCTGTGTGACGACTCGATGCGTGAATGCGCGTGTCACCGAGTCTACGCTCAAGTGTGGGTGTCACCGAGTCTCAGCTTGCGTGTTGTCACACATAGCTTGTGTGTGTGTCACCGAGTCTTAGCTTGCGTGTTGTCACCCATAGCTTGTGTGTGCGTGTGTGTGTCACCGAGTCTCAGCTTGCGTGCGACTGCGTGAGTCTTTAAGTCGGTGTGACGTGAGTCTATGGCGGAGTGCGAGCGCGTGCCGCGCGCACCGCACGCGAACTTTTGTGCGACCTGCGTTGTTGAGTCCGACGTCGGGGCTTGCTGTTGCGCCCTCTTGGTCCACCTGTGACCTGCGCCGAGTCGACGTGAGTCTGCGCTTTGCGTGTGAGCGTCAAGTCATTCCTGGGTCACTCTGCGAAGTCCACGTGCTTTGGCTGATTGTGCGCGTGAATCCACGTGGGGTGTCAGCCGAGCCGAATCCGAGACGAGACTCGGAGCGAGTCTGCGTTCATGCCTTGCCGTGTGTGTCTCTCTCTCTCTGCGTGTGTCTGTGTGTGTGTGTGAGCCTGTGAGCCTACGCGGAAGACTGCGGTACGTCAAAAGCGCACGCACGCGCACGCACGCGCGACGTACGCGTGAAGTGAAAGCAGTGAGAGAGAGAGAGAGAACAGCCCAGGGAAGTTGCCACTTCGGTCTAGAGGCGTGTAGGTAGCGTGCCCTCATTGGCCGTTGTGGAGAACTGCAGGGTGAACGTGCCGGCTCCGACTCGCTTCGAAATGATCGTCTGGATTAAAAACTTGGGTACTTTAAAACTGATTTTTTTTTGTGTTGAGCGTGTTGTCGTTCCGCCCCGCCACCTCCGATTAGCGCGGTTGGCTACGTATGGTGCGAAAGAAGTTCAACATACAGACATGCATACATACAGACGTACATACAGACGTACAGACATACAGACATACAGACGTACATACAGACGTACAGACATACAGACATACAGACGTACATACAGACATACAAACGTACAGACGTACATACAGACATACATACATACAGACATGCAGACGTACATACAGACAGACATACATAAATACAGACGTACATACAGGCATACCCACGTACATACATACAGACATACAGACGTACATACATTCAGACATACATACAGACGTACATACAGACAGACATACAGGCATACATACAAACGTACATACAGACATACCCACGTACATACATACAGACATACAGACGTACATACATACAGACATACATACAGACATACAGACGTACATACAGACAGACATACAGGTATACATACAGACATAGATAAATACAGACGTACATACATACAGACATACAGACAAACAGACATACAGACATACATACAGACATACATAAATACAGACGTACATACAGACATACAAACGTACATACATACAGACATACAGACGTGCATACAGTGAGGGAAAAAAGTATTTGATCCCCTGCTGATTTTGTACGTTTGCCCACTGACAAAGAAATGATCAGTCTATAATTTTAATGTTAGATTCATTTGAACAGTGAAAGACAGAATAACAACAACAAAATCCAGAAAAACGCATGTCAAAAATGTTATAAATGTATTTGCATTTTAATGAGGGAAATAATTATTTGACCCCTCTGCAAAACATGACTTAGTACTTGGTGGGAAAACCCTTGTTGGCAATCACAGAGGTCAGACGTTTCCTGTAGTTGGCCACCAGGTTTGCACACAACTCAGGAGGGATTTTGTCCCACTCCTCTTTGCAGATCTTCTCCAAGTCATTAAGGTTTCGAGGCTGACGTTTTGCAACTCGAACCTTCAGCTCCTTCCACAGATTTTCTATGGGATTAAGGTCTGGAGACTGGCTAGGCCACTCCAGGACCTTAATGTGCTTCTTTTTGAGCCACTCCTTTGTTGCCTTGGCCGTGTGTTTTGGGTCATTGTCATGCTGGAATACCCATCCACGACCCATTTTCAATGCCCTGGCTGAGGGAAGGAGGTTCTCACCCAACATTTGACCGTACATGGCCCCGTCCATCGTCCCTTTGATGCAGTGAAGTTGTCCTGTCCCATTAGCAGAAAAACGCCCCCAGAGCATGTTTCCACCTCCATGTTTGACGGTGGGGAGGGTGTTCTTGGGGTCATAGGCAGCATTCCTCCTCCTCCAAACACGGCGAGTTGAGTTGATGCCAAAGAGCTCCATTTTGGTCTCATCTGACCACAACACTTTCACCCAGTTGTCCTCTGAATCATTCAGATGTTCATTGGCAAACTTCAGACGGGCATGTATATGTGCTTTCTTGAGCAGGGGGACCTTGCGGGCACTGCAGGATTTCAGTCCTTCACGGCGTAGTGTGTTACCAATTGTTTTCTTGGTGACTATGGTCCCAGCTGCCTTGAGATCATTGACAAGATCCTCCCGTGTACTTCTGGGCTGATTCCTCATCGTTTTCATGATCATTGCAACTCCACGAGGTGATATCTTGCATGGAGCCCCAGGCCGAGGGAGATGACAGTTCTTTTGTGTTTCTTCCATTTGCGAATAATCGCACCAACTGTTGTCACCTTCTCACCAAGCTGCTTGGCAATGGTCTTGTAGCCCATTCCAGCCTTGTGTAGGTCTACAATCTTGTCTCTGACATTCTTGGAGAGCTCTTTGGTCTTGGTCATGGTGGAGAGTTTGGAATCTGATTGAATGATTGCTTCTGTGGACATGTGTCTTTTATACAGGTTAACAAGCTGAGATTAGGAGCACTCCCTTTAAGAGTGTGCTCCTAATCTCAGCTCGTTACCTGTATAAAAGACACCTGGGAGCCAGAAATCTTTCTGATTGAAAGGGGGTCAAATACTTATTTCCCTCATTAAAATGCAAATCAATGTATAATATTTTTGACATGGGTTTTCTATATTTTTTTGTTGTTATTCTGTCTCTCACTGTTCAAATAAAACTACCATTAAAATTATAGACTGATCATTTCTTTGTCAGTGGGCAAACGTACAAAATAAACAGGGGATTAAATACTTTTTTCCCTCACTGTACATACAGACATACATACAGACATACAAACGTACAGTTTAAAACGTAGGCCTTCGCGACCAATACAAACGTACATACAGACATACATGCATACATACATAAATACAGACGTACATAAAGATCCCCCATATAGCCTTAACATACTGTAGGGGCAAGTGCTGTTAGCGAGCACTTATGAAGGCCAGAACGGTACACGAGGGGGTGGGTGGCCAACACCACGCCCGACCGCCTTTGTCTCCCTAGTAGCAATGTTTACACACCGCACCAGGTACTCATTTGAGGCTGAGTCGACCTAGGGGAGGCCCGGGACTGGTTCAGATAATCGTCACTGGTGTTGGCCGTGAGCGAGAATCGAACCCGGGTCGCCAGGTTCATAGTGCAATGCGCTAACCGCTACACTAAATACATACAGATATATACAGACATAGATACATACAGACATACATACAGATCTGCATACAATCATACAGACATACCTACAGACAGACATACATACAGACAGACATACAAACCACTAGAAGGGTCCGCTGCAGAACGTGAGGCATAACTCGGATTCGCATGCAGAGTGGCTCGCAGTTCTATGACCTGCGGCCACCCTGGTTAATACGGAGTGCCGCATCTTGCCCATTCAGCACGCGCCGCCTGCTTCATGCTGGACGTGTATAGATCACGTGACGTTATGTCGTATGAAAAATATAGTTTGCTTGCCGGCAACCCAGCAAATATATGGAACGTCTAGGCCAACGCCAACGTTGGGTCGACGTTGGTCCAACGGTTCCCAACCGCATGCCGACGTCGGCCGTGACAACTAAAGAATGACTTCGTCGGACAGAAGCCAAAGCTTCGCTCGCCCCCTACCGGCAGACGAAAGCCCCCCCCGCCGCCCCTCGCCCTTGCTGCGTGCTGGTCGCGCTGCACAGGGACAACAGCCACTGGGGGGTCCCCCCCCCCCCCCACCACTGGCTGGACTGCAGCCGAGTGAACACGAGGGCGTGACCCAGGAGTTTAGCGGCAGAGGGTGAGATGGGGGGGGTGCGTGGGGATGGCGGATTGTATGAATATTGAATAGGTGAAAGCGGCGAGTGTAAGGTGAGCGGCAAGAGATGCGGATGGAGAGTGAGGAGTGGAGGATGATGATGATGAAGACCCCGAAGCTGCGAGCAGAGGAGACGGAAGCAGGAGCGAGGGGGAAGGGAGGGAGTGATTATGGTAGGAGAGGTTGGAGTGGGAGCGGGGAGAAATGTATAGCTCGCCGTGAGCTGCTACAACATGGGACCTCATCATTCGACCTCATTTGCCAGTACCAAAATATAATAATAATAAGGTTTTTACCCTTTTTTTTGGCAGAAAAAAACTGAAACCTTTTTTTACAATGATTCATGTCTGCATTAACCACAATACTTGCAGTCAAAATGCAAACAAAAAACATACTGTGATAACATATGCAACTGATGAGTCCACACCAGAGACAGCTTTCTTTTGAACTTCGTTTCAGCATGCCTTTTGGCGTCATCTGGTCGAGCACCAATTCTTTGTTTGCATTTTGACTGCAAGTATTGTGGTTAATGCAGACATGAATCCTTGTAAAAAGGTTTCAGCTTTGTTGCCATAACAAAGGGGGGAACCCCTATTATTATTATAACATGGGACCTGTTAACACCTGTTTCATTGCCAGAAATGGTAAAACCTATTCTTATATTTTGATAATGGCAAGAAAGATTCCATGTCATGGACCATATAGTAAACCACTGAAGTCTGTGCTCCTTTCAACAGAGGAATATCAACAACACACCAGCTCGCTCTCCCCTCTCCTGAAGCCCTCTCGTGGCTAACGGACCTCGACATTGGCATTTGTCTCCTCAACATAATGCCATCATACACGAGAATAGGTATTAAAATTAAACATGCTTACTACACTGTGTCCAATTTTAATTTAGTCACCATATCGTTTCTTTAATATGTTAACAGCAACATAAAATACACAGACAAACGCCTGTCGTATGCCGTCGACGAAGCTAACACTGAAAATGCTGACCCAGTCAACAGAGACACTGGGCCGTAGTGGTCACGATTGAATTGCCCTAAGCATTGCGCCACCGCTCCCCTTAAGATGTACAGTAAAGCATTTTTTTAAACCCAACTCCAGGATCGTTACATTCCTCATTGCGCCCATATAGCTCCACGAAATCAAACCTTTAAATCCGAATCAATGTCGAATGTCAGACCCGGGATTTTGTGTGCTCAATTTTAGTTATTGAATTCCTGCACCCATCACGAGTCGGTTCGTGGTTTTATATTTTTTACTCGGCTGAAGAGTTGCCCCGTAACTACTGACACGTTTTAATATATCACTCTGGGAAATATCTCCACAGTCCTCCAGAGGTCACTGTGTTCATTGCTTTGTTGAACACTGTAAAATAACTACGGTACCACATTATTATTTTTTCTTATTCCTCCTAACCATTGTAATGCTGTTGGTTAAGTAACTTATTTTTTCTAATTTACAGTCCGTAAAATCAAGTATGTTAATTAAACTACGAATAAATTATATGAATAGATGTTTGTACCATGCTGCTTTGAAAAATTATGGAAGAATTTCAGATGAAAATATTTAGGTATTTTCCTATATTGTTTTAGGATCATTTCGGATAAATTTTTTAAATATGTTTTGTGATCATTTATACGACGTGACAATGTCACGTGTCTT